GGGACAGCATTGGAATTGAGTCTTGGAAAATACTGCCTCGAGTTTTGTCATTACCCTGTCCAGGTAGCCTGATTGAAATGGTTGGTGCATGAAGTGGGGCTTCGTTTACACAGACCACTGGGCCCAAATCCCAAACTAGACGTCAAGTCCATCCCTGGGACTGAGGAGTGCCGTCTGGTCCAGTGCTGCGGCTCAGAGGCGGTTTGCTTGCTTTCTCTTTATCTCAAGAAGTTCCAGGAAATGTCGCTGAAGAGTTCAGGGCTGCTGTTATCTCAGGCCTCACTTCCTGTGGCCACTGGACACGCCAGGGTATCAAGAGGACAAGCCGCATCTGTTCTGGGGCCTAGGCAGCGACTCTGCTTGGGGACAAGAGTGCCAGCTGACCTCCCTGGAGTGAATTCTGTCTTTTCGTTCCGCGGCATGTTCCTGAGGAGTAGGATTTTCTGCAATGAGGGGAATTACTATGTCCTGCTGGGAAAGCTGTGGAGGCATTTAGGAAGCAGATAAGATCCAGAGGGGAAGGCTGCATGTGAGCAGGTGCCGGCGTGGGGTCGTGCCCCAACACCTGCCTGACCCTGACGCTCTTGCCTTCTGCGCTGCCACATTGCCAGGAACCTCTCTCACTGGGCTCCTGCTTCACTCCTAGCTGGGATTGACCTGTGACCAGAGTCCCAGCAGCAGCAGGTCCCACGGTCACACGAGCAGACCCTTGGTTCCCCAGATTGGCAGAGCGAGACCCGGAGCAGACCCTTGCGAATGGTGCGTGTGTATGTGTGCGCGTGTGGGGGCGTCGCTGGCCTGCACAGGACAGAAGCCCGGTCAGGAGAAGGGAGGTGCTCTGGCCTCCTGGGATGGGGGGTGGGAAGGAGAACAGGAGTAACAGGGAAGAAGGTGGCAGTGGCCTAGAAGGGAAACCTGGACCGAAGTCCCATTTTACCAGTTTCGTCATTATGCCAATACATGTGAGATTTTCTCCAAGGTGAACCGAACCCCGGTCCTGCCCCAAGATGGGACTGGGGTGCAGTGAGGGTCATCTCTCTACACTGAGCTGGCCTTTGCTACTTAAACAAGGATTGAGAAATGCTAGGAAAAGACACTAGCTGGCAGAAAAGGAGTCTTCACCTTACACAACAGCGTGATCCAGAAACTTTGTGGAGGAAGAGGTTTGCCATCTGGGTTGTATATTCAGTGTGCCCCGGGGTCAGCCGTCACCTGTGAAATTCTTGGGTGGCCTGCATGGGAGCCCATCATGTCGCCACCCTCCCCTGCCAAAACCCACCCGGATGGGTGCTTCTTGAGCATCCACAGCCCGCTGTCAGCACGAGCTCACGGTGGCCAGGAGGCCAGGCAGGGGCCACAGAGGGCCAGACCTGCAGGTCCCCATCAGTCTCCCCGCCCCAGGCCACCGTTCAGATATGCAAGCACTCTTCCCTTCCCCGATCCTCCACAGTCCCTTTCTTCTCTGCACCTTTCCAGGGCTTTCCTTCCTGTCCATGGGATTCTCACCCCTTCTGGAAACGAACCTCTTCTAGCGACATCAACAGCACTCACACATGCGTTAGTGTTCTGGGGAAACTGTCCCTCTCTTAGCATTCCTCACGATATCTCCGAAACATTGAAATGACCCCCCACATAAAGGGAAAGTAGATGGAGGCAGAGAGGCCACACAGCTTGTCCTGAGCTGGAATCCGGGCATCTGTTGTCCCCTGCCAGTCACCTCCTAACCTGGCCTCAGGCCCTGGTTCCACCTTAGTGCTTCAGTACGTCCCCTGGGGTCGGGGTGTGAAACCACCCTGTGAAAGTGAAATTCTGCGTGAGGAGAACTGCTGTTTTTAAACATTTCTTCGGGGCACCTGGGTGGCTCAATCAGTTAAGCATCTGACTTCTGCTCAAGGAATGATCTCACCGTTCATTAAGTTTGAGCCCCGTGTCAGGCTCTGTGCTGATGGCTCAGAGCCTGGAGCCTCCTTGAGATTCTGTGTCTCCCTCTCTCTGTTCCCCGCCCCCACTCACACTCTCTTTCTCAAAAATAAACATTAAAAATAATAACATAAGTAAACATTTCCTTATTCTATGGTCTCAAGTGTTCTAAGTGCACACATTCCTACCGTCTGGATCCTTAGAAAAGGATTATTACTTTGAAAGTTCCCCAGCCATCGTTCCCTCTGGAAAGCCCTGCGGTACCCTCTCCTCCTCACTTATGCAGCAAGAACCACACACACACACACACACACACACACACACACCCTCCAGGAAGCCTCCCCTGCTGCAGTCCGGGTCCCCTCTGCCCATCGCAGCAGTGCTCAGGCACCATGGTTAGGTAGGCAAACACTAGGTGGCACATGGCCGATTACCACTGCTTCATCTGTCCTCACAAACAAGACTCCCAGCCTCTTGAGCGTGGAAAGGCAGCTGCAAAGCCAGGAAGCTGTTGTGTTAGCTGCCGGGTCTGCCTCTGGTGTGGTCCGCTTCGGCAAACTCTCCCATGAGTGTATCTGGTTGGCAGGGCCAAAGTCACATCCTGAACCTGGTTGCGAGGGGGTCTGGGAATTATAGTTTGTCTCTTTCCAACTTGCACACCCTCTGCCTAGCTCTAGGCAGACAAAGGCCCTGTCAGTCCCCAGCATCTATATCATTGCAGGAAAAAGACAGGTCCCCTCAGTGTCTGACTCCATTGGTGCCAAGTTCCCCAGCCTAAATGGTGATGTTGAAGGGCCAGCAGTGATGTTGGGAGATGCTACAGAATGTGGCTCAGGCAATGAAAGACGGAACAATTCTCACATGTCTTCAGCTCCAGGTGACCTTGGTCGTTGAGAAGACAGGAGCTCCGCCTCCCAGAAGTTCTCTCCTTTACACCCACTCAGGGAGCTAAACTACCGGAAGAACTCACCGGGTACCTTGGTCATGATAGTCTAGGTTATGAGGTGGGATAAATAGCCCACGACCACCAGTGTTCTGGCATTAACATGACCATGGCTTCCATCATGGTCATGCCACCTATCCAGGGCAGACTGGTCAGGGACTTCCAAGTGCTCCAGGGCCTTGGGCTGACCCCAGCTCCCTCTTCACACCCGCTCCTGCATGCATTCCTGGCGAGGCAGAAAAAATAGAAGGTGGCCAACTACACACTCGCTTCTACAAGGAAGGGACATGTTGTTTACACTCGTGTTTCCCTAGCCCAAGCAAGTCGCACAGTTTGCCCAGCGTCAAGGGGGTAGAGCTTCAATCTTCCTTGTGCTGGAAGGATGGAGAACCAAAGTGTAGTGAACAACACGATCACCTCTGGTGGGAGGTGGACAGGAGAGCCGTGCCCTGTCCACGGTCCTGGTTTCCTCATGGCTCCAGCTGGGGCAACTTAACATTCCTCTATTACCATGTTTCTTTTTCCTCCAGGCACTGAAAAGTTCAGCTTTAAAGATACTGATACAGTTTTTTCTTGAAAATGGCCTGTGAGAAACCATCACAATCCCCAGAGGCAAAATTCTCATCATGCTTTTCTTCAAATACATCTGTGGTTCTCAGTGGGTCATGATTTTGTGGGCTGGGAATGCTGCGTGTTTACTTTTGCATAAACACTCTGCTTATCTTTCCTGAATTAGGGAGGGAAGGTGACTGGCACGAAAGACGCAGCCGGGCAAGTTTCTCAGGTTCAGGTCAAGTGCCTCACCCCCAGCCAGGCTTGCTCCGACCACCTTCTCCCCAGCTGGAAGCCATCTGCTCTCATGAGTCCCTACTTGGCCTGTGCTCTCCCCACCCCCCACCCCTGGCACATTCTCCTGCTGCATTATCAACGTTTGTATAAATGCCTCACTTCCCCCACTAGCTCTTCGAGAGCCAGAACTTGATTTGATCCACGTAGAATTGTCCCTGCAGCACAGATGGTGTTTACTAAGTATTTTTGAATAGGTCGGAGAATAAATCTCTACCTTAGGGCTTTTTCTGCTGGACAGTCTCTGTGTCTTGTGACTCAAAGAAAGGATGGATGGATGGGTGGGTGGGTGGGTGGGACAAATGAAAGAATAAAGGATTGAATATGTATAGAGGCCAGTTAACCTCTCATAGGGAAAATAAGCAAGCCTGTTCTCTCCAGATGCTTCTGCTGATTCTGACCAGCTAGCACATAAATATAGACTCTTGGAACAGAGGGGACAGGTGGAAGTGGGGTGACTCGGGGCCACCTCTCTCCACTCTACAGACTGGGGCAGGGGCATAGAGCATTGCTCCTCCTGACGTTTTCCGTGGCCCCGGCTGAGCAGTGTGGGGGAAGGAGTGACAGGACATGGGGTCTCTAGGGATTCCTGCCTGTGAAACTGCCGTGCCCGTTTTCTACCTCAGATAGTTTCCAGGCTGAGGCCCGAGCTTCAGGCCCCGAAGCCTGAAGGAGATCAGTAGACTGAGACAGCAGGAGCCAGAGGGACGGCCCCAGAGAAAGTGCCTTTTGAATGTTCCCTCGACCATGGAGAGGAGCCTCAAGCACCATTTCCTCCTTCTCAGGAGATCGGCACCACGCCCCCACACACTCCCCTGCCTCACAGGTCCCTCGAGGCCAGGCCGGAGTCTTGAAGAGGCGGGGAGGAGAGGCAGATATTATGCAGGGCAGGAAGGTGCCCACGGGTCCAAGTGGCAAGGGGTGGAGGGGCTACACACACCCTTCTTTCTTCCGCGATAAAAAAAACAAAAACTTTACCTCTTTTCGCTGCCTCCTTCGTCTCAAAGAAAGGCATAGAGCTGAGAAATGGTCCCTCTGCTGTGCTAAGCTCTCAACTTAGAGGAGGTTAGACCTCTTGGCTTTGGTCTTCCCTTGCCCTTCATTCCGTGAGAAAGCGAAATGTGCATGCAGAAGGGAACGCAGAGCTGGGGGCCATCTGCACTCCAGAGGGCAGTGGTTCCCTCCGGTCAGCCTGGACGGTCCCTGGGCCTGGAGGCTTCAGGCCAATGGGATGCTCCCTCCCTCGACCTCCCCGAGCCTACTTCGGAATGATGCTCTGTGGCCAAGCAGGTACCAAAGGATAAATGTGCTATATTAACGTGAGTACGATGGACAAATGCACTGCAGTAGTAAGCACGTCATAGATACATAGAATATTGTCTCTCTAGTCTGAACATAGATAGAAAATAAGTTATACTTGTTTTTGTTTTCCATCACAGTAGGAGGATAGCATACAAAGTGATTGGTTCAGTGGCCACAAAGCAAGCCAAGGGAGAAACCATAAAGGAGGGCGTAGGGCACGGAGAATGGTGGCGATGTGCCAAGGACGCTGCAGAGTCGTGGGGGCTCCTGCAGGGAACAGGACCTCAGACCTCTCAGGTCAGCCTTCTGAGTTAGCACGAGGTCCCACTTGATGACAGCCGGTGGCTGCATCTGAGCTGGGATGATTCAGGCCCCTGGGTGGGCGGCGGAGCGGGGACAGGCGCAAACAGCATCCAGCAGGCCAGCCCACTCTCCCGCTGGCGCTATTGGACTTCTGTGATTTTAGGAACACGGGCCGCAGAGCCAGACGGCACGGTTTGCTTCTGTGATGTGACAGATGGCCAGACTGATGGCCCACCACATGCTGGCTGGCCCTCCTCCCTCACCAGCCGGCTCTGGGGGGCCGAGGTGCCCTGCGTGCTTGGCCTGTTCTCCAAGGTTCATAGCCCACTAGCGATGCTGGGATCCTGCACATATTGCCACAGCAGAAGGAAGGGTCTTAGGTCTTGGCTCTGAATCCTTTCTCTACCACATGTGACCTCTGTGACTTCGGGAAGGTCACCTGAACTCCTCTGAGTCTCAAGTTCCTCATCTGCAAAGTGGGGGGGGGGGAACTGATGCTTACTTCCTTGGGGGCTGGCAAGGGCCGAGCGGGATGCTGTATGTAAGGTGCCCAACACGGCTGGCTCCTGGCACACAGGAGGGGCTGGATACATGGGAGATGGATCTGAGCTTCCAGACATCAGGGCTGGGTGAGAAAACACCAACCTCACAAAATCTGGGGAATAAAGCCACCTTGAGTGGCTTAGGGTTGAGGATTTAGGGCAATTTCTTTACCTTCTTTCCTGCCAATTTTTTCTCCTCTCTCCAGGTCTGGGATTCTTTGAAATGAAGTAGGGGTAGGGTTCAAGGGCAGGTTTGCCGAGGCAGACACAGCCCGAGCCTAGGAAAGCACACAGCTCAAGGTCGTGTCTCTTCACATCTGGGACCAGGTAGAGGATGCTTCTTCCTTCCCCGCCATCCCTCCCGCCAACCCCTGCTCCCCACAGCAGCCCCTAACTCCCATCTCTCAGACCTGGACCATTTTTCCCCACTGGGAAGCCGAAGAGTGGGGGACGGCACTGAAAACAGTGAGCGCCTATTGAGTGAGAAGCATTTTCCATCTGTTCTGAGCCCAGGGAATCTGGAGGTGGATGGGCCACCCGCGGACAGGTGAACTGCCTCTGCAGGTGGTGGGAGATGGGAGGGAAAGAGGGATGGAGACCTGGTCTTGAACCTGGGGCCCTGGGAGCACTCCTGTGCTTCTACCAATGCTGAGAACTTGGAGATGTGTCCAAAGACCAGCCTGGAAGCCTGGGGCTCCCTGTCCCCTCTCATCTGCAGTGTACTTCTCAAGATCTGTGTGTGTACGTGTGTGTATCTGTGTGTGTGTGCGTGCGCGCACACACGCACACATCTCATTCTCCCCCGTCCCCTCTAACACCTGCCCGCCCTGAACCTCCTCCTCCATCCATCACTCAGCAACTTTCCTCTTGGATGGAGGCAGCAGGTGGGCGGGCAGCTCGTTGGGCAGCTCGTGCCCCTCCAGCTTGACCTTGATCAGGTGGTTGGCCAGTGCAAACTCCTCGTCATCCAGCATGCCGTCCTTGTCGATGTCAGCCAGCTTCCAGATCTTGCCCAGCACGCTGTTGGGCAGCTTGGAACGCACCATCTCCTTCTTGGCATTGGCCCCTGTGATCTTGCCGTCCACCGGTGACAGGGTGTAGAAGATCTCGTCGTACATGGGCTTGTCCCTGGCCACCACCCACTCGGCGTCATCGATGCCCTCCCCAGCCCCCTCCCCGTAGCCATGCCCGAAGGGGCCATGCAGGGTGCCCTCGAACGCCCCGCCCTTCACCATCTGCACAGGCCGCTGTGTCTCCTCCTGCCGCACTAGCACCATGAGCTGGGCGATGTCGTGGGCCAACATATCATCCACCACCTCCAACAGCTTGCTTTTCAGTGGCTGGAATTTGCTAAAGTCCTGGGCCTGCAGCTGGTCCTGGGAAGAGGAAGAGAAAAGAAGGTGAGCGTAGGAGGCAAGGGAAGGAGCTATTTCCCCTTGTTGGGGATGCTGCCTTCTGCTAATGCTGGAATGTTCACAGCCCTGGAAGCTAAGCTGATCGCAAAATAATGAAATATTGAAAAGATATGAGAGAGGAGAAGAAAAAAAGGCACAGTGGCTCTTGGTGGAAGTTTTCAGGAGAGGACAGTCGCAGGGTCTAGGGAAGAAAAGGAAATGGAACAAATATTGGTTTGATCCATTTATCTGGATTCCCTTTAATACGCTGGAAACAATTACATTTCTCTTTCAGCTAGTTTTGGCTATTGAAGGATGGTTCCTGAATGCTTTGTCCTCTGAGACCGAGGCGTATGTGTCTCTGTGCTCTAACCACGGTGGTAATACTGGGGAACACTGCAAATGCCTCACTGCGTGATCTCATTCGCTCTTCCGGGGCCTTTCAGAGGGAGGGGAATCACATTCTATCCCCATTAAGGGAAGGAAAGACGGAGGCACAGGCAACTGAAAACAAATCCTAATAGAAGCCAAGGCTCATCTCCAAACCAGTGATTCTTACTCATGCTGCTCATCGGAATTAGCTGGAGAGTTTTCAGATACCTGCGTCTCCCCTGAGGGTTCTGACACAGTAGACACAGGCAGGCAGATTCTGTAAAAGCCTGCCTTCCCGGGACACCCACACCACATGGTGGAAGAAATATGTTCCACTTGGCGCATCTCTGCGATTTTGAGGCGTCTGAGTCGAGAACACCCGGCTGCTCCTTGGCCTTTTCAGTGACAAGGTGAGAGCTTTCTGCTCCGGCCGTTGGCTCTGACCACAACAATCTCAGGACACTGGGCAGAGGCCAGTGCACAGAAATCTCAGGGACAAGCACATCGAGTTCCCGGCAGAAAAATTCAGAAAACACCCACGGTGACATTTTAAGAGCGAGTGTCAGCCTGTGCGTTTCTCACCTCCCCTCTAAGGCAGGGCCAAGCCTAGGAGGCAGGTGGGGGCCGGTGGGGGTGTGCAGGGCAGAAGCAGACTAGCCCAAGGTCCCTGGCATCTCTCTCAGCCTGTCCACGTCGAGGTGTATCTGGTGGGCTCCCAAACGGGCAACCTAATATCTTCCAGGGGGCACAGTGGGTGCTCCCATCACCCCACATCGATGGACCGCCAGGCGGCCATTTACATGGTTGGTTCAGGGCACCGGACAACAGATCCTAACGTGTGACTGGCAAACAGATAAGAAGGTGAAATCTGTATGCGGCAAAAGGATTCCTCACATTAAAAATGGGGTCGTGTGGTCCCTTTCGAATGCTATCTTCCTAAATGTTTGGTTCTAGAGCACAACATTCTTTTCTGATTTTAATTTGTTTATTTTAGAGAGAGAGAGTGCACGCGCGCACATGAGCAGGGGAGAGGGACAGAGGGAGAGACAATCTCAAGCAGGCTCCATGCCCCCAGCATGGAGCCCGATGCAGGGCTCGATCCCACGACCCTGGGATCGTGGCCTGAGCCGAAATCAAGAGTCGGACGCTCAACCGACTGAGCCACCCGGGCGCCCCCAGATCATTACCTTCTTAACAGAAAGAGAAGCTGAACGTTGAAGTATTCCAAGCCACAGCTGAGTGACAAACCTGAGTTATGTTAAAGTAATTCTGCAATTAGTAACTGGCTTGTGGTAGGTGGTTCCAGGAATGAATGGATACATGAACGCATGCACTATTTGAATGTCTATTTTTTTCTCTTCCTTTTAGCACATAGGAAACTAAAAATGCCTGTTTGGGACCGTACTGATGTTCTGAACCTCCAGTCTTAAACTGAGAAACGATCAAAAGATCAAAATCAGCAACGAGAGCAAAAAACAGTTATTACAACTACATGTGCTGCTCTTCTTAAAAAAATTCCCTAATTCTCAGAAACCTTTTTTATTTTTTTAATGTTTATTTATTTCTGAGACAGAGACAGAGCATGAATGGGGAAGGGGCAGAGAGAGAGGGGGACACAGAATCCGAAGCAGGCTCCAGGCTCTGAGCTGTCAGCATAGAGCCCGACTCGGGGCTCGAACTCACAGACCGTGAGATGATGACCTGGAGCCGAAGTCGGACGCTCAACCGACTGAGCCACCCAGGCGCCCCAGAGAAAGCTTTTATTTTTAAATAAAATAACTAACTATTTTAACTATTTAACAGCCTAACTCGAGGCTGCGTTTTAAGAGCCAGGCCCTGGGCTAAGCACCTGGCAAATATTATCTCACTGATGATGCTCATAGCATACATCTAAGGTGGGTGCATCGGAGCCTGAGGTTACAGATGAAGAGTCAGAGTCTCAGAGAGGATCCAGTTAGCATTCGTGTGGTGGCTTCTCGCTTGGACTGTGGGGATATTCTGACTTTTCTACCAGCAGCCTGTGTGAACAGCACACTCAGCAAACTGCCAGCCATTAATTGCACAGGTCAGTTAGCTTTGTAGACCTCAGTTGGCTCCTCTGTAAAAGGAGGAAGAAGAACGCCTCCCTCAGAGGACCCCTTTGGGGACTAACGTGAGAAACCAGGTGTGATGGTGCTAGGCCAAGATAGGAGCCCATGGTGTACCCCGAAGAGAGCAGGCTTCAGTGCACACTTCTGTTTCTTCATGGCTTGTGTCCCAAACTGCTCCCAAGTGGGAGCTCAGAGGTAAACTTAGGCACTCGAGGGCCTGGAGACCCCGTGTCAGGTGACATTCCGTATCACGTGGCATGGCAGGGATTCCAAGCTTGTGGTGGCCGTGACTGGGCGAGGTCTAAACTGGAGGTATCGGGTCCCAAGCATCAGGATACCCCAGCCTCCCTGGGAGCAGTGGGGCTCTGTGTTCTCCCCAGACCCAGGTAGGACACCTGCTGGGCCAGCGGTGGTCCAGCACGGAGGGCAGACCTGGGGCCATCTCCTTGCCTTCTGATTCTGGGCAGTCGGACTGTCCCTTGTCCTGGAGCCCCAGGCCCCTAGTTACCTGCATCCTTTTCAGGTTGGGAAAGTCCCCAGGTGAGATCTGGTGCTCGCGCTCGATCCGGCCGTAAATCTCAGCCAGGTTGTTCACCAGCTCCTTCTTCTTGTTATCCTTTCCGAATACCGACGGCATCTCCTTCTTCAGGGAGCTGATGATGTAGGCATGAACCTGAGAACCAGGAGAAGAGAGCAACCTTCCGATCAAGACCCTTGATCCATTTCTTCCCTCCAGGGTGGCTCTGGCCCCCTCTCTTCCCATAAATCCCTCCTCCTGCTGCTACCTCTGCAATCATTTCTATCTCACCCCCTTGCTCTCTCATCGCTTGCAGCGCTGAGCTGTTTTCCTAGATCACATGGGAAAGGTGAGACTATGGGGGGAGGTTAAGGTCAAGGCAGTTATAGGGATGGTAATACTGGTAATGACGTTGAGGACGAGGAAGCCAGCAACAGCTAACGTTTCCTGAGCACCTCTAACGATGCCAGGCACTGTGACGGAGCTGTTACATTCCTTACCTTACTTCACCCTCCAACCCCTTCATTTTACAGACATGGAAAGAGGCACAGGGAGACTAAGGACCTTGCCAGGTTGGGATCACATTTCATAAACTCCAATCTGGCCACCTGATGCCAGGGCCTGTGACCAGAACCACCACACTATCCTGCCCCCAGCTACTGGGGGGGCTCAGCTGGTGCCCATGATGCAGGAGCTAGAGGACACCGACCACCCCCTGGCCCGCCCCAGCAGGCGATAGCTCAGGGTTGCAGGCGGCAGCCCCTGACCGACCCACCCCGAACCTCCCCGTCTTCCGGGGGACAGCCTCACCTTGGCCAGCCTGGCTCTCTTGATGAGGTCGTTGAGCTTGCGCAGGGCAGCATTTCGCGGCAGACTCTGAATATCTCGGAACAGGTCCTGCTCCTCCGCCTCGAAGAGCTTCCGGTTGTCGGGGATGAGAAGGGGGTGGGACCAGAAGGAGCCGATGTAGACCCGGATCACCTCCGGGGTGTTCACAATCTTCCCCAGGGACCACATGAGGGCCCCGTACACCCGCATCAGCTGCTGCGTCTCGATCTGGTCCGCCTTGTTCAGCACCACGCGCATCTTGTCCTCGTGGTTCTTGAGGGCCTTGATGACCTCTGAGAACTCGTCAGAGATGTCCAGCTTGTGGGCGTCAAAGAGCAGGATGATGCGGTCCACCCGCTCGGCGAACCACTCGAGGACGGCCGCGAAGTCGTACCCTGTGGCAGAGGGGCGGTCAGGAGGGGGGGGGGGGGGGCTCCGTGGCACAGGGAGGGGCCTGGGGACAGGAGGCCAGGCACTGGACACAGAGTCTAGGGAGTCATGCCTGGGTTCCAGCCCCCCACCCCCCATGTCCACTCTTTGGCCTTGAACATGTTAGCGTTCCTGAGTGTTCTCTCACCCATAGATGGACAAACTAATAGCACCTGACTAATGGAATTATAAGGACTAAGTACTCTCCGAGCCCAGCACATAGTTATTAGTAACATCATTATTCCCATTTAGTCTTCTTGTTCAGGCAAAGAGGCTCTTTCCATTCAGCGACAGGGCTCAAGAAAGTGCTTCGGGGGCGGGCTCTGCCCAGCAACCAGGCAGGGGCCTGGTCAGTGCCACGGAGATACGGGGGCACAGTGACTCAGCCAAGACCACCTTGCTTGTAGGCAGCCGCTGGGGCACAGAACCCAGCTCTGCAACCCCAAGTTCAGCTCTTGTTCTGGCGGGCAAGACGTTCACTTCATGGCCCCATTTCACCCCCTTTGAGATACGCAGGATGAGGAGACTCACCCCGGCTTTTCAGAGGAGGAAACAGGTTCAGAGATGAGGTGACAGTCAAACGGCCCCTAAACGGTGGGGCCAGGGCTGGACCGCACCACCTGGGCCCTGGGCTCCCCGCACATGCGGAGGGCAGCTGTCTTGCACGTGGCTACCTCCCTGCCTCTCCACCCTTTCTCCTTCCCTCCCCAGGGCCCAGGCCCACCCAGTAGCTCCCACAGAGTCCAAGAGGCCTGTGCATTCCTGCTCCAGGCGAGCCTGCAGCCTGCACCCACTCTCCTGCTCTCTGGAGCCCAGAACCGGCAAGCCTGCCCCCCTTGGTGGCTGGGGAGGGCAGCAGGGATCATTCCCAACTGTGGCTGTGGCGTGCAGGCCTCGGGCAGGGCAGCCCAGAGAGCATGCTGCAGCTCCTTGTAAACAAATCCCAGAGTGGCCACTCCCAGTCAGCTGGGCAGCTAGAGTCCAGCACTTAGTCGACAAGGAAGCAGAGGCTCAGAGAGTGCGCAAGGCCCCCAAGGGAGGGGTGGAAGCAGGGTCATGTCTCCCCACCCCAAATCAGGCCCTCTGGTCACCCCTCCATGGACTCAGGAAAGCAAAGGGGCCGAAGGCGGGCGGGGGGGGGGGGGCGCTGCAAAGGCTTGGGGGGAAGTAAGGGCAAGGCTGACCAGCCCCCACTTCGGGGTGGGGAGGGACAGTAGTAGCTCAGTGTGGCCAGAAGATGACGGCCCCCTGCCCATTCCTGTCAGCCCAGTGTTCTTGAGGTAGGGTGTGCTCCGAAGGGGTCGCCTGAGTAGCACTGGCCTGGCAAGCTTACTTCTAGTTTCTGTTCAGCCATTAAGGTGCTGTGTGTTCTTGGGCAAAGAGCCTTCCGTCGTCGCTGGTCCCCGGTCTCTCTGCCTGTCAAAGCAGGGAGCTGGACAGGAAGACCTCTGAGCTTCCCTTCTCCCTGCTTCTAAGACCAGAGGGGTGAGGGTGGAGAGCAGGACGGATGAAGGGGAGACACGAGGAAGTCCTTGCCAGACCGGGAGAAAGGAGGCTGGGGGCCTCTGTCTTAAACACCTTGGGGGGGCCTGTGTGAAATCTGCTCTTGCTTGAGGACAGGCTTCTGGAAACCTTTTCTGGGATTTCATAAGCACAGAGGCTTCCTATTCATCTTCCCACTTTTGCAAATTCTGCATGCTGTGATGAGTGCTATCAAACTGCAAAGTCCGTAATGCCAGGTGCTTTCTCCCGAGGTTTGGCCACGAGGACCGGAGGACCAGGTGATGAGGGCGTAGGCTTCCTCAGAAGCTCAGCCTTCCTGCTCCCAGCTATTCAGAGCCTAGCAGCCTCCAGGACAGGTAATTGTCTCTGGGATGGGGGGTGGGGGGCGGACAGGGCTTAGGCACATCCAGGAATGGGAGCATCTGAAAGGCACAGATGGACCCATTAAGCAAAAGGCAGGGAACTAGCTCTCTCATTTATCTTCCGTGTGACCTTAGCAAATCTGAACCTCAGTTTTCTCAGGTGTCAAATGGGGATGATAACACCTGACCAATGAGGGGTCAGTGATAGAGCCACGGCAATAGGATTCAAGAGCATAGGGAGGGCCTGGATCAGTCTGGAGGCTCTGCTCTAATGTCTGGGGTCATAGGTCCCCTTCCCTGGCTGGTCTTGGGAATGGCTCTGAGACCCCCCAGCAGGGACTCGTGAGCACCTGCAGCAGCTCAAGGGCTTATAAGACACGAACTAGGAGGTGGAGGGAGATTTAAGCCCCGAGAGACTGAGCAGCAAAGCTGGTCTTCCCGGAAACCCTGGGATTACGTGCAGCAAGTCTGGCTCCAGGAGATCTGGTCTGCAGGCATCAGGCCCAGAGGACTGGAAAGAAAGCATTTCTAAGTAATGCCAGGCAGGAGGAAATCAATGAGACAAACACAATAGGCAAGGCAACTCCTTAATCACCCACCGGCTTCCCGCATATTCTGAAGAGCAAAGCAGGGACGCTGACAGGCAGCACATTTCTTTGTATTTTCAACCACACCATCTCATTTGATCCTCATAACTGTCCACATGCCAGGAGCTACACAGGGCACACACATCTTACAGGAAGGGGAGGGGACAGAGAGGTTAGGGGCTGGCCAAGCTCACACAGGCAGGTTGTGGCGAACTCGGGACTAGACCCCAGACCCTTGACTCGGGTCCACACTCTCTTCCTATGCATAGCCATGTGTGAGGCTGGAGCTCAGAGGTCTGAGCCCTCAAACCAGGCACTTGTGGTGGGTGCACAAAAGGTCCTATCCTGCCTCCCAAAATCCCTTTTGAGATTTAAAGACATTTTAGCAGAAGAGAAATAAAAGGGCATCAATTTTCAAAACGTGGGAAGAGTTCAGATGCCAATGGGGAACAAACACCACACTACATGCCTCTGAGAAGTAACCTTGGAAGTGGCCTGAGAGACTCATCATAGGCCTCCGATGACCATAAGGCTGCCGGCAAGCCCTTGTGACATGCCTCAGGACTCTGCTGCTCTGCCCTGGCTCGTGGTGCCCACACAGGAGCATAGATACAGCATGGAGTCTGGGGCCCCACTCCAGTGAGGGTCCAGGGACAGACCAGGCACGTGAGGCTGCCAGGACCAGCCTGGACCCTCCAAGGTGCCCCCGGGGGGACCGGAGATGAGAGCCAGCCCCATTCTACTCCCCAAGCTCCTCCTGGGCAGGTGATGATAAACCACTCAAAAGCCACTAGACTGGGTCTAAGGAGACCAGCCTGCGTTGCAGCTTTATAGCTCGGGCTTTTCCCTGCCTGTGGGGATTCTAGCTGACAAGTAGCCAGGAAATGAGGGTCCCAAGTGTGAGGACACTCAGGCTTCCGGAGCCCCTCCCACTTCTGCTGCATTTTGCTTCTTCCCAGTAATGAGCCTGGGGCTGGGCACATCCTGTCACTTCCAGGAACTGCCTCCTCTGCCGCCCATCCCAGGTCATCTTCATCCAGAGACAAGTGCTGGCCCAGGACCTCCTGAGCTCAGATTCCCGGACATCCCCTGCTTCCTTTCTCCCCCTCAGACACCCACCCGAGGCCTGGGCGCAGGGGCCATACCCTGAACAAGGGCCACGCTTCTTCCAGCTCTGGCCCAAGGCTGGGTGCTCCATCCCGTGAAGCTTGAGGCCTGGGGAGCCCTTGGGAGCAGCTCACTTTCGAGAATGGGGCACCCTGGGGCCACCGGGCGAGAGGCGGCTCTGTGCAGATTTGATAATGGTGCCCCTTTTGGCTGGTGAGACACAGCACTGTGCCTGGCATGAAGCTCAGTGAATGGAGTGTGGGCTGGATTGTAGGCTCTACGCGCCTCTCTGCCGGGTGAGCTTGTACAGGGCACGACCCACAGGGCCATGTCCTGTCCTGAGCTGGCTAGAGGAAGGACAGAAACACCAAATCTGTGGTATGGCCAAACCCAGAGCTCTGAGGGCCCCAGGCAAGAAACCGCACACAGAACATTTGGTTCTGTGCACACACGGGTGTGTGTGTGTGTGTGTGTGTGTGTGTGTCTGGGGGGGGGGGGAAGGGTTATTGGGAGGGAGGGGTGGGTGCGTATAGACGTGGGGGTGTATATGTGTGTAGGTATAAACCAGAACTGCCAGGTTCTATGGCAGAGAAAGGATGAGAGGTTCTGCATACTGGAAACTTTCCTGACACCTGAGGGTATCTGATGCCCTTTCATTCCTGGTCTCCTTGGAGCGCTGAGGGCAGCACTGCCCAGGCTGGCGATACAGTGCCAGTGCCCAGCTCCCAGCTCTGGTTTTTATCACAGGCTGCAGGGAAGGCAGAGGACTGACTGGCTTGTGTAGCCATTCGTGGGCCATCACTTCTAGAGGTCAGTGTGGGGTGGGAGGGGACAGGAAGGCAGGTAAGGAAACCAAGCACCCAATTTGCTGAGGGCAGCCACTGAGGTCCAAAGATGAAAGCAGGCAGGAAAATACAAGAACAGGGAACGAATGGAATGGGACAGGAGCTGAGGAAGGCAGGAGTCCCTAGAAGTAGGCTGCCATATACAGCTGCACAGGCTGTGCACTGCACAACTATAAGGGAGGCCATTCATACAGATTACTCATTACTGTATAATGGGCAACCCTGGCTGGCAGATAAAGGGGAGAGAAGGGAGCTCACTGTCATCCAGGCCCAGAGCTGATGTCTGGGTTTCCATTACCATCTGTAGGTAATGGAAGGTCCTATGATAGGTATCATTATCCTTGTTACAGAAGTGGACACAGGCTCAGGGGGAAAAATGTGGCCTGTTGAGACCCATACTGGTTCTAAAAACCGGGGCTTTGACCTCCCAGTCCAGTGCCCTTGGAAATCCCAGAGGCTGAAGTCCTCCCCGGGCCTACCTGCCAGGCTGCACTGCCTTACAGGTCTATGTGCCACCTCCCCGCTCCCCAGCCCCCAGGTAGTTCGGATTGAAAAGTCATGGCTCTCCTGAGCCTTCCTTAAGGACACCCAGGCGGCTAGTGTGAAACAGTAAATCCCCTTTAGGCCTAAACTCAGGATGGGCCCAGATGAAACTTGGGCAGGGCGGGGGAAGGGGGGGTGCTGGTAAGGAGGGAGGGGAGTATTTAGGGAAACAAATAGAAGCCACACGGAGAGCCACCAGAGCCTCCCCTCCACAAGGGTTGGACCCGAGCACCGCAGTGCTCACGAAGGTCCAGAGGAGAGGGTAGGTGAGCCTGTCTTCCCAGGGCCGTGGGCTCTATGTCTCCAAACCAGCTCCGCCTCAGCCCCAGCACCACCCGGAGCCCAGGCTCCCCCACTGACGTCCCACTGATTACATGGCATGTTCACACAAGGCCCTTCCTTTCTTCTTTGCCCCTCGTCCCAGGTGTCACCTCCTCACTGAAATGGGAGGGAGGCGCAGGGCATTTTTGTTGGGGCCTCTACCTACCCCTGCTCCCACCTACTCCAGACTGAGGTCCTGACAGCAGGCTCTGTCTTTCCTGCAGGACAGACCGGGGTCCAGAGGCCCTGGAGTGGGCTGCTGACCTGAGGGCCTCTCCCGCCATCTTCCCTGTCTACCCTCTGTCAGGCTGGCTGTACCCACCCACACGGCCATGGGGGACACCCCCCCCCTCCTGACGCCCAGGGCTGAGCTGGGTCCTGCCACCCCAGAAAGCGACCTGCTCCCCGCAGAGAGGAAGCCGGGCCAGCTGGCAGGAATGCTCAGGGCGGCCTAGCTCCGAAACTATGGGCCTGTACCCAGGCCAGCACCAGTGGCACTTGGGCCCCCTTAGTACAGACCTGGGGGCACTGGCTTGTTGCCAGTGAGGCAGTGGGCTCTCCTCCCGGGGGGCCCGGGGCTAAGCGGGTGCCGGCGCCTGCAGGCCATGCCCTTGGCCTGGGCCCCACCATGGCGGCACAGACATGCTGCAGGACAGACCTTGGCGGGCTGCAGAGCACATGGGCCAAGGCACATGCGGGAGGGAAGCAGACAGTCAACTAAGGCCACTGCCCAGAGAACCTCTCTGCCAGTCCCAAGACTTTCCTTCCCGGAGGCTGACTTCTGAGTGCGGACTTGGCTCCAGCCCAGCTCCTGGCTCCAGTACTGGGGTGGGAGTGGCTTGGCATGGCTCGCCAGAGACACAGCCCAGAAAGGGCAGGGGGGCTACCCAGGGCACACAGCAGGAGGTGGTGGGAGAGGCTGGGGTGGGACGCCAGGGGCAGACTTCTAGTTTTGTACAGCATCGTCTAGCATTTTAGAGCTAGAAAAAAAACAGTGATGATGATGATGATGATGATGTTTTTCATGTTTACTGGGCACTTGCTACGTGCCGGGCAGAGGGCTTTTTGTACCTATATTATTTCTTTTAATCCTCAAACAAGCCTATAAGTAGAGAGAACAATTTCCCCCTATCTTACAGAGGCGTAACTGAAGAACCCTGCCCGAGCTCATGCAGCTAGGACGCGGCAAAGCAGGCTCGGCACGCTGGCCATCGGGCACCGAGGTTCCATCCGCTAACTGCCATGCCTGGGGACCTCCCTTAGTGAGCAGTTACCCCAGATCTGTCTGGAGTTTTCAAAGTGCTGTTACATACCAGCTCCCCACTCTTAGGCCCAGAGCACGCTTGCCTCCCCACGTCACTGGATGAAGTTCTCTGCAGGTATATGCCTTCCCTGCAGATCTCCCCAGGCCAGGGACCACAGGACCTTCAGAAGCAAACCAGGTCTGGCCCGGGGGTGGTGCCTCTTGGGGAACGAATCAACCCAATGAGGTAAATAAGGCAGATAATCGCTGTGTCCTTTTACAGAGGAGGAGACGGAGGCCGGCTGTCGCCTGAGCCACAGTGGACCCAAACTGTCCCCTGGCCCCTGCCTAGGACTGTCCCCACAGCACACCAGGTGGTGCCAGCTCATCAAGGTAGGGCAGGGTCCTGGGGGGGTCTAGCTCATATATATATGTATATATATATTTAATGTTTATTCATTTTTGAGAGAGAGCGCACGCAGGGAGGGGCAGAGAGAGGGAGACCCAGAGTCTGAAGCAGGTTCAAGGCTCTGAACTGTCAGCACAGAGCCCAATGCGGGGTTTGAACCCACGAACTGTGAGATCACGTCCTAAGCCGAAGTCGGACGCTTAACCGACTGAGCCACCCAGGCGCCCGGGGTCTAGCTCATAGTACGGAAGCAAAAGAACATACCGGAAAGGACACAGCACAGAGCCAGGGTCCATCCTCGCAGGTGTGTCGCTTACCTCGGCTGATCCTCTGTTTCTCCCCGGAGAGGATCCCTGGGGTGTCGATGACGCTGATGCTCTCCAGCACCGGGTTGGGCAGCTGGGCACACACAAACCTGCACGGGGCGAAAGCAAACCCGCGCTGTCCTCTCACTGGCTCCCGCACACCCTCACACGTGCAGACGCACGCCAGCCTTCCCAGCCCTGGGGGGCGGACGTCCAGAAGCCTGGCTGCCTTCTGACGCCGACCCCCAGGCTCCAATCCAGACTCAGCCTTGGCACCAGGCCCGGGACCTGCACTTTGAGGAAGCTCCCTGGCTGATCCTGAGGCAGCCATGGTCCTGAATTTGTGCAGCCCTGCTATCAGGGACACTAGGATGTCCAAACCTCAGTCTCTGGCCCCACAGTGCACAGTCCGGTGGGGAGAGGAGGCACGTGTGTGGGCCACCACAATATGAGGTGGGATGGGACCAGCATGTCGAGGGGGGTCAGGTAAAGGGCTCGGGAAATCCAAGGTGCAGAGATGGCTTCCAGGGATGGCTTCTTGGAGGACGCGGCTCGGGAGCTGGCCTTGATGAAGGAGTCCCACCACCCGGGAACATTTATTTGGGCTTCCAAATGCACCTCTATCGAGATAGTAGTCAAGCCTTGTGAAAGGAAATATTTCTAGGGCTACATCCTGAAGTCTCAGAACACCAACTGGTAAACCTAACGTAGGCTCTTCTTCAAGGCCCCTCTCTTACATGCCGTTTTTGGCAGAAGCCAAGAAGGGGTCTTACTATCTCAGGTTCAGCGGGCCTCTGCTGCCCAGCGAGATGGCAGAGAGGCAGGGTAGGTGAGGAGGCTGGGACACGCGGACGGGGGCATTAGGGCATTAGGGAGGGCTTCACAAAGGAGGCCAGAGTGGCCAGAGTGGGGCCAAACAGGGAGGCAGGGTTCACATCACGGGGGCCTTGAGAGGTCTGGGTTTTATACTGAGGGCAACAGAAACCCATTTATACTGAGGAACATTTTACGCAACAGAGTGACTCGGTCAGATACGACGGTTGTCAGCAAATCCAGTTCAGTTCGTCAGATCTGTATGGAGTGCTTGCCATCTGTATGGAGTGCCGGGTGCTGGGCTAGATGATGGGCTGGAAGAGAAAATGGCACGGCCCCTGCCCTACCGAAGCCCACGGCTCCTCAGGCTCTATGGCACACCCAAGTATCCTACAAGAAACCCCACATTTTGCTGAAGCTGGCCTGAGCCGGGTTTCTGTCACTTGATGACCAGGTAGCCATGTGCGTGGGGGCTGGTTGGGGGCGAGGGCTGTGACTGAACCTTCACCCAAGCTGAGCTCCTGGAGTGAGAAGGGCAGGGGGCTGAGGGTGGACCCAGTGAGGGGGACACTGGGTCACAGGAGCCAGAGAGAAAGGGGACAGAGCCGACAGGGAGGCCGCAGGAGGGCCAGGGAGCTGAGAGGGAACAGTGGCTGAGAGAGACCCATACCAAAGAGAGGCGGGGTGAGGTAATGGTGGGAAGTGTCCGCTGTTCACCATCACTGAGAGGTCATGGTGACCTTCACATGGGCAGCTGTGATGGGGGAAGCCATGCTCCCCAGGTGGTGGGGGAAAGGAGTTAATGAGGAGGTCTGGTCAAGAAACTTGAAGGTGGTAGGGTCTGCTCCAGGGCTGTCAAGAGGAGATATTTCTACATGGGAGAGGGGGGAGAGGGTGGTCTCATTGGAAAGAGGGAATCCCTGATGGCATGTTCCCTGAGGAGCTGGCCCGGAAGCACCTGTGGGGGGGAGAGGAGGTAGATGCAGAGCCGAAGAGAGGACGCAGCTCTCTGCAGACCGGTGGAAGGGGGCGGGGACAGAGGCAGGGGAACACTCCACGGATGCTGGCTTCCACTTTCTCTAGAAGAGGAGGCAAGGCCATCTGCTGAGGGAGAAGGAGGCTATGGGGGTTGGAGCATGTTTGGAACACGACCCCTGGGCAGCACTGAGATGGGAGCCAGAGGTTGTGGTGCAGCCTCCCTGGGTGTGGCTGCGGGGAACTGGAGGCGCCTGGAAAGGGGCTTCCTTCTCCCCTCATGTCCTTCCAATGGACACGGCTGGCAGATTCCCCCTCCAACATCAGTCTAACCACCCGTCCTTTCAGCTCCTGAGTGCTCTGGGAGGAAGGCGCAAACCTCACAGTGCTCGGTCTTCTGCTCCTAGGGCTCTTGCAGCGAGCCATATTCTTCCATTCTTCTCTGCTCACTGGGGTTTTTCCCCCAGTTTTCTCCTGCCTGAGATGTCCTTTTTTCCCACCCAGACCCTGGAAAGGGCCATTTCACTCATCATTGACCAACCCATGTCACATGCCAACTTTCCCTCAGAGGCCGCGTCAGTCCTCTTGCCTGGGAGAAGCATATTACTCTTAGCCTATTTTACAGACGGGAAAGGCGAGGCATAGAGCAATTAGGAAATTTGTCTAAGATCCATGGTGCCGTTTTGATAGGATTTGGGCCCAGATTATCTGATGTCAAAGCCCATCATCTCTGCCTTTACTCTAAATACCTCCTATTAAAGAAAGTAGTTCAAATTGTTTAAGTACAATGCACATGCGAAACTGTGGCGTGGCTCTATTATGACAAGCGTGACTGGGCGGCAGCCTGCATTCTGGTTACGTAGAATAATAACAGGAATGTTGGGCCAGCCTGCCAAGCATTCCCTACAGCTTTTGCCACTCACATTGACACAATACCCCTGGTGACTGCAGGCTTACCCTTGTCCCAGGGGAGGGGAGGTGACCTGTCCAAGGTCTCGCAGTGAGTTTAGTGAAGAGGCAGTGCTCAAACTCAGGACTTCCACCATCAGCCCACGGTTCCTTCCACCCAGTAAGAACAGCATCCAGGAATAGAGAGGAACCTTCCTCTACCTCCTTCCAGTTGGATGCAAACCCCTTCCCTAGTACAGTTGACCCTGGAACAATGAGGGTGTTAGGCGTGTCATTTCCCCCACCCTGCTCGGTGGAAAACTCGCATATAAATGGACCCATGCAGTTCAAACCTGTGTGGTCAAGGGTCAGCTGTATAGACAAAAGCTGGGAACTACCCAGAATAGCCCTCTCCACTTTCATTGGAGGGAGGTTTAGATTAGGGGGGAGGTGATCTAACTCCGGTACCCTTCCCTGCTCCATGATCCGGAATTAGCCCTATATCCCTAATCCGTAGTGACCAACTCAGTTACACTCCCAGCAAGAAAGGAACAACCAAGAGACGCTGGGTATGGAAAAGGCACCGAGCCTCCCAAACCCCTCCTCTTCCTTCCCATACTCCAGGAAGAAAAATAGAGAACACCCAGGACACGTGCTCCCTGAGCACTCACCTATTCAAAAAGGCATTGCCAAAAGCGTTCAGCTTCCTGAACGGTTTCTTAGGGTCCACCACCAGGGCGTTCCCAGGGATGATCCCTTCCACCTGTCCGTGCATCACGGCAATGAAGGAGTCGGTGGTCGGCTCGGGCCCAATCCGCATGCCTGGGAAATCCTGTTCCAGTAGGTACCTGGCAGAAAGATGCACGGTCGTAAGGTAGGGACTCTGTTCAAGCTGCACGTCTGCCACAGGCAGGTGAGGACGTGAGTCGTGGCAGAGGGGCAGAGGGACCGCGACAACATTCCGCGGTAGGGACGCGTTTTCACGGACGGAGAATCCAAAGACCTCTCGTGGAGGAAGTGGGATTTTAGCTGCACTTAAAATATCTAATCTGTCCCCCTGGTCTTTACCTGTTATCCTCTCGGAATCAGTAGTTGGAGAGCAAGGAGATGCAAGATTTGGCTCAGAAACAAGGTGTGGGTTGACACGGATTCCTGCAGGGGGCGCAGTGGATTTTACAGGTGGAGGCAGCCAGCTAAGATACCGGCAGTGAGGCTAGGTAGGAAAGAGACCATCCACAGACTGTGCAGGCTTTCCGTAGGTCCATATGCCAGCCATTTCATATGAGACATAAAGACAGCTCCTGCATCACCAGTGTGAAGGGACACTGTGCCAGGCCCATCTCCGTGCCGTCTACGAGCGCTGGTCCCACTGTCTAGCGTCACTATGAGGCTGTAGCCTGTACGTACATCTCTTTGCTCTTCTTCAGGCCTAAGCAGTGAGAGCCCAAGGCCACTGCCCCTCTCCACAGCCCCTTTTAGAAGTCAAGAGCAAAGGTGCACACGGCGAGCCAGAGAATGAAGAGAAGGAACACGGAGGCCTCCTGGGCCAGTGGTCCTCAGCCCCGGTGGTGCGTTTGAGCTACTGTGTAGCTGTAGCCAGTGGTGCCCAGGCCCCAGCCCGGAGGTGCTGTCCCCCCTGGCTCAGGGGTGGGGCTCGGGCCACCAGACTGTTCTAGGAACTCCCTTGAGGATTCTAACGTGCAGCCCGGGGGGACATCCTGCTCTAGACCAACCTTCCCATTTCACTGATAAAACCACTGACACCGGCACTCAATAGCATTTCCACCTGCCAGATACTGCGCTCATCACTTGGAGGACGTCATCTTCGACAGGCTTCACGGCGGCCCTATGGGCAGGAACTGAGGAAGCCGAAGCTTCGTAGGGTTATGTGGCTTTCTCCACGTTAAATAGCCAGTAGTACAGCTGGAATCCAAACCCCATCAGTCTAACACCAAATCCTTTGCTCTCTGGCCGTCTTCCGCCCTGACAGCAAGCTGATCAAGGCCCCACAGTTTGGGGCAGAGCTGGGACCGGAAGCCACGACTCCAGGGCCTGAGCTCTCTGCCCACCTTACACCTCCCCAGAACGGGCCTGGGGCATGGGTCCTGCTCTGCCCAGCAGGCTGGTAGCCGAGGATTTCCTCTGGCTCGTCGACATCCTCCTTGTGCCTTCGGGAAGTGTTCTGAGCTACTCGTTTACTCTGAGGCACAGGGCGGTTCGAGCTGGGTTGCTACGGGCTCCCTCCCCAAGGAGCCAGCAACGAGCTGCTGCCCAGGAGGCCACCCCCGCCCGCTCTGGAGGGTTTTCCGCCGCCTTGGGAAGACTCTCATCTCCCTCCCAATAATCCAGGTGTGAAGGCAGGATTCCCTCCCGTCAGAGGACCATTTTGAAAGCTGGCTCCTGGGTTGTGCTAACAATAAATGACAGCAGCTGCACACTTGGACAGTGCATCTGGCTTTCTCAAACACACCTTCGGGGCCTCAGAGGAGAGGTAGGGCATCTCAGCAGCCCGGGGCCAGCAACCCAGTCTCTCTAACCGTGAGGGACATGCCCTTCAGAAGGTACTTGCCCTCTGCGAACCTCATTACCTCGCTCCATAACCTGAGAGATTATAGTTCTGGTTTATGAAGCACCTGCCATATGCTAGATGTTCTAGACTTTCCGTGCCTTATCCCACTTCATCTTCCCATCTCTGATGTGAGCACCATCGTCTTTACCATCAAAATGGGCCTAATAAGAAAGCCCACCTCATAGTGTTGCATTAGACGCTAAGTGTTGCTTAAGACACTAAGCACTTAAACAAGCACCTGGCACCAAGATTACCACTCATTGTAAAAAGGAGGAGACACGGTCACACAATGTGCCCCAGGATATGCAGTCAGTAAACAGCAGAACTGGGATTTGAACCTGGCACGTGGGCTTAAGAATTCATGCTCCTAACCACTACATTCACTGTCTCCGTTCCCGCCTAAGGTCCCTCAACCAGGAAGTGCAAAAGGGCTGAGCCCCCCTAGGGGACCAGAAGGAGGCGTGGAACAAGAGGACCCCAAGGGGGAATGATCTGGCAGGAGGCTGGCCAGGGGCCAGGCTTCGATGCTCACAAACCCAGGAACGTACTCTTCTCCTGAACACCCACCTCTGGGGTTCACTGCCCAGTCTCCATGAGTGGGATGTGGCACACAGAAGTGGCTGCTATCGGGCACCAGAGCAGGGCCAGGGCCACTGGCTCTACAAGGCCATTCTCGGAACCTGAAGCTGCTTCATGAGAGTCAAGGCTGTGCCCGGGAAACCCCACCCATTCTTGCCTGTGCTGGGAAAGGGGCACCTGTGTGGGTCTGGGTATGGCAAGTGTGAATTCTGAGGCTGGAGGAGGGTGCCAGATGTCACCAAGGGCCTCAGGGACAGCCGAAATAGAGACGGACAGAAAGAAACATTTCTGAGGCAGCCCCAAGAATGCCCAGCCTGAAGAGGGCCAAATACAGTGACGAAGTATCTTCCTGACACAGGCACCTCAGATTCCAGCCCCGAGAGAGACGTGGTGTACCAGCAGATGAACAAAGGGTGACGCTTCCCAGCATCACAGAGGCCACTTTCCAGGATGTTCCAGAGCCGCAGCCTCAGGCAGCCAAGCGAGGGCCTGGAGGCTGGGCCCGCTGTCCTGGCGTCTCGGCTAAACCCACATGACCTCCAATTCGCTGACCACACACGGGTCTGGAGAAACACAGAATCCCACGAAGCCACCAGCAAGTCCAGGGACACAGTCGGGCCAGGCAGAGAACCCAGGGCTTGGTAAATTCTCAGGGACATCTGCGTAGGGCCTGCAGCAGCGAGCGCCCCCTTAACAAAGCCACCACTGTGTCCAGAAAGGAAAACCTATTGAGAGAGCTCATCACTGCTTCTCTATGGGGAGTGATACAGATCGCCTCTGTTGCCAGGCAAAAAAACGTTCCCACAGTAGTGTAAGAAAAGAAAAGTGAATTCAAGCCTGGGTGGGAATGGCTGAGATGGGGACACACAAGAATCAAGAGGGCCAGGCAGGCAGGGTACCCGCTGTGGGGTAGGTGTTGTTCTGGGACCTTTACCCAAATGACTCCACTTAATTGGTCCCAGATGCACCATGGGATGGCAGCATTATTTCAGTTCCACAGTTGAGTAAATTGAGATAGAGGTTGCTCAACTTTGGGGCCAAAGAACACTACTGAGAGGCCCTAAGAGCTGAAAAGATTTGGGTAGCCCTCCTCCCCCCAGCCATCCCATACAAAATGAATAAATACTAAACCACAATACAGGTGTAAGGAAGTCCCAGGAAATTCTGATTTTTCCCAGGAGGATGAGTTTTCTTCATGTTTTTTTTAAAGCAAATTATTTTCTAACACTTTCCTCATTTGTTTGTGTCCCGCTTGGCTGGCAATCTAAGCATGTGGCCTGCTTTACTGGTGACCTAAGCCCCCAGGGTAAAGGCGTGGGGCCAAGAATCTTAACCCGGTCTGCCTCTGGAGTATCCATGTCTGCAACAGCGGGGGCCAGACCTCAGGCTGCAGCTCTTACTTTACAGATCTTTAGACTTGAAAGGCACATGTCACTTTCTGCTCTGTGTTCTAGGTATCTGTGTTGTACATCTGTATCTTTGGTCTCAGTCTCGGGGTCTGAGCTTTTGAACGGGGTCAAAACAGTAATACTTGCCCTGTTGGGTAATACTGGCCTCAGGAGGTTTTAGGGACACCGGAAAGCACCCCATAATCACAAAGTGAGGTAGTGGAAGGGAGACCCTCGATGGCCGTGTTGAGGGCTGAGTCGGCTCTGTGCTCCACAGAGCAGCCACCCCTGTCCCCGTCACACAGCAGCCTCTGCCATGGGACAAAGCGGCCCCAGCACAGAGGAGACTCATGGCTGGGCTTTCGAGCCTCCCATTAGCCTCCCCTTGCCTCTGTCCACCCTGCCACAGGCTGACCCACCCAGTCCACGACTAACCCAGCACTGCCCACAGGATCCCCTTGCCACCCCTCCTCCAGCCCTTGGAGGTAGAGGCAAGATCCTTGCCTCCAAAAGGGGTTCCCCCCCCACTCCTGAGGGCCGGTCTCTAGGCCTCTGCTTATAGAATCAGCTTGAAAGGGGAGAGCAAATGAGAAAGCCCTAAGCACAATGCTTGGAACATAACTGGCACTATATTGGTTCTTTCCCTTCCTAACTGGAGAGTAGTACTATGAGGTGTTCGTTGCTATTCACATGTTAGAGGTGAGGAGACTGAGATTTGGACAGGTTAGGCCTTCCTGACAAGGCCTCTTAGCTAGGACTGTTGGAGCCTGGATTCTGCTGAGCCGGACTCTGCTCTTTCCATGGCCTCACTCCATTGTCAATGGGAATGGATGGAGGTTTCTCCAGAGGTCCCCTCCTGCCGGTGAAAGCTTCTCTTGATGACCTCCAGACACCTGACTTTCAAGGCAGATCTTAAGCCAGACCTGAGGCAGGTGGCCTAGGGCTGTCTACTCCCTTGAGTAACACTCAGGCCTTATAAGAGGTGGGCAGATTTCCACTCTGCCCCACTGAGGGACCAGCAGACCAGAGCCCTGATGGGAAAAGATGTCCCCTGACCTCAGCGGGAGGATAGGAGTGAGGTGTGGCAGGCACTGTGGCTGGCAGGATAGCCCTTGCAGAGGCCACTGGGTCTACGTGGAATGGTGGCCCCTGTCTCTAGTCGTTTGGCTTTCTGGAGGATCATCTTTCTCGTGGTGGTGATGCTATAAAGCTGGGGATGAGGCCTGGGCAGGGGGGATGCCAGGGCTGTGAGGAGAGATGGTGCAACACAGCCAGATGCTGAGTCACCTTTGTGGAAGGATGCAGAGAGCCCCCTGAAGAAGCGGGGGAGTCCAAAGCGCCCACTGAGTAGCCCCCACCTCACCCCTGCAGCCCCACCACGCGCTCATACTTCAGAGTCGGGGTCTCGTTGTAGAAGGGCCGCGGGATCCTCAGGACCAACCCAGACCTCCCTGTGCAGACCCAGGCAGCTTAGCTCTGCCAGCCTCAGGCCCCACACTTGATCCCACAGTCCTCTCCTTCAGCTCCGCGGCCGCCCAGCCAGGCCTCCCTTCTAGCCCACCAGAGCACCGGGGTCTTCCTCAGCCCCCGGGGCGGCCCCAGATGCAGCTCCGGGACTGGGGGGGCCAAGTGTGCAAGGGAGCAAGGGTTGGAGGCTGCCAGGGCCATTCAGACGAAGAGCGAAGGGAGGGGATCAGCAGAAGCAGGAGGAAGGCTGCCAGAGCCAGAGGGACACAGGGCGACTGTATCGAAAGAGGCAGCCTGTGTGGAGGGAGCAGCCGCTAGGCCAATTGATTGTTTATTTTGTGAGTCGGGGTTGCCGGGCCTTAGGCCAGGGAAGTTATTTCAGGCAGAGAGCATAGCACATTAATTAGTTATTAGAAGAATGTCCTTTTCTGCACGTTCTTCCTGAGATGAGAAATAGACCCTGTGGCAAGTGCATATAAATGAAAGTGGATGGACACTCAGGAGGCAAAAGGCCAAGGGCCAGGGAATGAAGAGGCAGGTCTGTTTCCGAGGGAAACATCCCTCACAGGTTCAGGCCTGGCCGGAGCCTGTGAATCACGGTGCTTCAGGCAAGAAGCAGGGGGAGGGAGCACGGCCTTAGCTACTCCAAGTGGAGCCTTCTTTGCTCTGGGGGAAGGGGTGTGGTCTCACCTTACCCTCTTGGCAACTCAGAAATAGGATTCTTAACACCAAAATTAAACATAAAAAAATTAAAAACAAAGCAAAACTGCACAACCCTTGGCCTAGTGATTTCACTTCTGGGACTCCCTGAGAAAACAGCGCAACGTGTGGAAAAATATTACGTGTAGAGCGAGTCGACAATAGCAAAAAATTAGAGACAACCTAAAACATGCAAAAGGAGCGGACAGGCTAATGAATAATTTGCATATACATATAGTGAAATATCATGCGGCTCTTAAAAATATTGCTTACAAAGACTTTTGAATTTCCATAAAAAATGCTCCTCCAAGTGAAATAAACTAGCATATAGAATTACGTTATGGCATGAGCTCAACGGTGTTATAAAATAGCTAAAAATACTAGAAGGATAGATATATACATATGATATTTAAAATGGTCTCTCCCGAGTCATGGGATTATGGGTGATTTTTTTTTTTCTCCTTCCTCAAATTTATTCTTGTCTCCATTTTCCAATGGGGGAAAAATAGCTGTTCAGTGGATTTAATGAAAAGGAAGGAAAAGATATAATTTGGTTTTGGAGGGATTCCCTATGCTGTAAGCCTTGCTACTCTGCTGGTGGGCTCGCCCTCAAGGTGGGTGGCTTTGACTGCGGGAGCTAAATTCATTTACTACAGGATCCAGGAGGGAGAACTTTTGTACTTGGGGGATAAGAAAGCGAGGGAACTGCCTCCCCCCACCCCTCTCCGGCCTTCCTGTCTCTCTTAGATAAGGAATAATCCTTGGGCAACTCGACTCTGCCCCTCTCTTAGGCCCAGTTAACAGCCAGCATGACTCAGGCAAAGCCAGGGGAGTGTCTCAGTCAAGAGGCACTTAAACCTGTCGGCTGCTTCAGGATCCTGCCCTCAGGGACACTCGCCTTTTCCCCCTCGCTCTTCCCTCCCACTCCGTGAACCCCTACTGGGAGCCTCCCATAGCTGAGACCCCAGGCAAGGCCTCAGGGAGCGAAGGCACAATAGCAAGTTCTGGTGCTACCAAAGGAGAAGCTCTAGATAATAATAACAAGGAGAAGCTCTAGATAATAATAACGCACTAAGAGTTATAACCGGGGCGTGTCCAGAGGGCCAAGGAGGGCTGTGCAAGGGCAGGAGTCATCTGTACATGGGAGGACGCGGGCTACAAAGGAAACCTTTGTACAGAACCTAGGTAGCTCTGAAGTGCCTTTGGCAGCAACTAAGGGAAATGGATCAGATCAGGGTTCTTGCCCTGAGATTACATGTAAATTTGTGTATGTGCATTTTTCTACAGACAGGGCCAAAGCTTTTGTCAGAATTTCAAAGGATCTCCTGACCTTTTAAAAAGTTGGGAAAGCAATGGATTAGATTCATTGCTAAGAGCCCTCGGGCTCTAACAATGTCAGCTACCCAAAAGCCAGTAGCTGCCCACCCCCTACCTCCCATACTTCTTTAGAAATCGCTCAGCCCCTCAAAGCCACGGAGCCCAAGGCTGTCCACCCTACAAAGAAAGGCAAGCCCGATCTGGTGTTCTGTTCCGACCGGACATGTCAGCACGGGGCAAGCCCTGCTCCCAGGCTTGTGTATAAGCTTCGTTGTTAGGGAAAATTGGTAGCTAGAAAATTAGGAAGCTGACTGTTAACTTTTCTGCTCTCCTTGCCAAGCAAAGCACAGTGCTTTGCATGTTGCAGGTGGCCCGACTATAGTAAGATTTGATTTGAATAGAAACAGGACCCCTGCCTTGAAACCTGCAGGAGATGAGCACCACTGATTTGGGGAGGCCACTGCACCCACTGCCTCGCTAGAGGGCTCTGACTCAACACAGAGGGCCAAGGAGCACCTGCAGCAGTTTGGCAATGGCTGTAAATGAGGCCAAAGAAAACCTCCTGGCCTTGAGAATTGTGTGGACTGAGGACTGGGTTAGGAGCCTGTCCTGTAAAGATGGGGAAGACTGTCATTACTCCGGTGGGCAATGCACAGAGCTCTCTGAATGCAGGGTGGACAAGCTGACTCCCCGAGGATCCCTCCGGCCCTAGGATTCTGTAACTCAAGGGAATAGATGACTCACCATCAAAGCCACAGGCATTTAGCCAAGCCTGTCCTCCCATGCATCTAGGACCAGCCTCCCAGGTGGGCCTCCTACCCAGTTAACACAGCATGGGACCGTCATTAAGCCCTCTCTGCCTTGGTCATTTCACCTGCCGAGTCAAGGGGCTGGCTGAGACGATCACCGGTGTCCCTTCCACCTCTAAAAGACTTTAATGTTATTACTAAGCCATTATGATCAAACAAGGGAAAAGAAAAAGGCATTCTGCTTCTGACACTGCTTCTGTCCAGTCTCTGAGAGACAGATGTAGGTCTGCTCAGAGAAGGAAACTGGTAAAAAGGACAAGTGGCACTACCCAGCAAGGGCTCCAGAGTCCCCAGCCCACCTCATCAGTGGCAACTACAAAGCCCCCAGGGGAGTGGCTGAGCCCTCTAAAAGGCAAGGGAGGTGGTCCTCGCCACCAAGGACATGTCCCTAAAAAGTGAGGGTGTGAGACTCCCCCATCAGCAAAAGGTGCTCTTGTGACTAGGAGCTTTCTCACTTGTGCCTCCTGGACCTCAGGTTCATCATCCATAAAATGGGGAGAATAGGGATGACTCTGAACTTCTAACACATCAAACCGACCTCTTGAGTCAAGGGCAGGGAGGCACTAGGTAGGGGAAGGGGCGAGGGCAGCAATGAAATCGTGGGGGTAAAGCTTTGGACACACAAACACCAGAATTTCTTCAGCGCCCTCACAACGGAAGTCTTCCGGTTTTTCCCCAGGCAGGAGGGGTCACCGGGAGGACCTAGGCGCGGGGCGGCTCACCTGATGAAGGTGGTCTTCCCAGTGGAGTACTGGCCCACCAGCAGGACCATGGGCTTGTTGTCGAAATCAGCATCCTCCAGGGCAGGCGAGTGAAACTCGTGGAAGCGGTAATGCTCTTCCAGGGGCAGCAGCTTGGTCTTGTAGAGTTTCTTGAGCCCCTCGCTCACCGTCTGGAAGACCTCGGGGTCCTTCCTCCGGCGGTCGTCGGAACCCAGCCAGCTGAACATCGCGGCCGCCGGTCGCCCCCCGCGCTCAGCCCCGCGTCGGGCGCCCTCGGCTCCTGGGAGAAGGGGCCCCGCAGGACCCACCAGCCGCTGCGAGCCGCGCCGCCGTGTCACCCGAGCGCGGGGCTCGGCCGCACCATGGCCGGGAGCGCGGCGCGGGGGTCCCCGGGGCGACGGGAGCGCGCCCTGCCCAAGCTCCTGGGGCCCAGCCCAGCTCCCGCTTCAAGCGGAGACCCAGGAGCGGGGGGGTGGGGGGAGCGTGGGGGGGGTGGAGAAGAAATTATCTGCGCCGGGCAGAAGGGCTGCGATCTCGGAAATGAAAGTCAAACCTGCAATTAAACTGCAAGATGCCGGGATGCGATGCCGGGTCCCCGATCTCCCCCCCACACACGGCTTGCCGACCTCCCCTGCCCGGGCCCTGGTGCAGCGAGAGGATGCTTCGGCTCGGCTCCTGCGCGGCCGGCCGGCCCAGGGGAGGAGGAGGAAGCGCTGGCCCGCCCGGGGACAGCTCAGCATCCGCAGCCGCAGCCCGCAGCCCCAGGCGCCGGTTTAAATGCCAGCCGTGCAGGAAGCGGGCTCGCGGAGGAAGTCCCCGAGTACTGGCAAGGCCAGCCCGGCCCGTCGGCCTCGGTGCCGAGAAGCTGAGCAGGGCGCCGCCATGTGTGTGGGCAGGCGCTCCGCTGGGGACCGGCGACCGCAGCCTGGGAAGGGAGGGATGCGGAGTTCTGTGGGAACGCTCTGGCATTTCAGTCTGGGCCTCTGGAGGTTTGATTTGGGAACAGCGCCCTCTCCGGGACAGCTACGAAGACAGAGCTGGCCCGCTCCAGCCTCTCCCAGCTTTTAAACAGCCCTTGCTTTAGTTGCAAGAAGCCGATTCCTTAGGAAGACCGGCAGGTACTCTAGTATTTGGGAACATTTTCCTGGGGGCATGGAAACAAAAGAGGCCAATATCAGGTTACACAAAAATGACCAGAACTGCCACTACCCAAACTTTTTGCTGGATCTAGGGTGAAGTCAAAACCATTCCCATTCATTCACTCATTCATTCATTCCAATAACACAAAACAAAAGGAGCAAAACTGCCCCAAGCGTGGAGCCGGCGTTATGGTGACTGTGGATCCGCAGTCAATCACAAAGACCAGCACGGACTCTCCCTTCCGGGAGCTCCGTGAGGAGGCAAGAGCAGAGGGTGCGCAGGGACAATCTTTTTGTCTGTACAACCTGAGGAAGGCTTCCCGGAAGGCATGACTCTGTGCCGGATCTCAAGTGATGAATCAGAGAAGCAGGGAAGACATCCCACGCCGGGTAAAGGGCGAGAGTCTAGGGATCGGGAAGGTGGAAGGGAGTGACCCAGGCCAGGGCAGAAGGCTCAGCTTGCCAGCGCAGAGATCATGTAGGGGATGAGGAACCATAGCACTAGCTGTTACTCTTACTTGTTAACTAGGTGCTTACCGTGTGCGGGGGGCCTGGGCTAAGTTCTCAGCGAGCGTGTTGCATTAAACTTTCACAGCAGCTGTGATGCGGCACGTATCATTTCCAATGTCACACTGAGGAGGATGGGGGTGGGAACACTTGGCCACGTGTAGGCAAAATTCAGTACGTGTCTGTACGGAATTTAAACACCATAATAAAACCAACTCGACGTCATCGGCTTTATACTGGCTCCACTCTAAGCAGTGCCAGGGACAAACCACTCCTCCCCGCCGGGGCGGATGGCTCCCATACACTGCCTTGCCACAGATCAAGACCCAGCAGGCTAATGGTCCAGGCTGGACTGCTGATGCAGGCAGCGGTCAGGGAGGGGCCGGAGGAGCAAAGGAGGCGGGAGGCCAAGAGACTGGTTAGGAAACTTTTAAAAAATTTACAAGACAGCGGCAATCAGGATGGGGAAAAGGTCGTATGCAAGAGACTTGTGATGGCATAGAACTGACAGACCTTGGTGGGCAATAGAGGAAATGAAGGTTAAGGCTGAGTCTGGGATGGCTTCGAATTCTCTACTGCAGGAGATAAGACGGTTGGAGATGCTGGCCCACCAGTCAGAGGAGTCGGGAAGGGGGCAGAGTTAGCAGTTAAAGATGATGTGCTCAATGACTGGATCATATGGTATTTCTATTTTTAGTTTTTTGAGGAAACTCCTGACCGTCTTCCACAGTGGCTGCACCAGTTTGCATTCCCACCGGTAGTGCATGAGGGTTTCTTTTTCTCCACGTCTTCACCAACACCTGGTATTTCTTGTCTTTTTGATTCTAGCCATTCTGACAGGTATAAGGTAGTATCTCGTTGTGCTTTTTGATTTGCGTTTCCCTGACGATCAGTGATGGTGAGCATCCTTTCAGGTGACTATACTTTTCGTGGCGAGCAGTGAGCAGTGTATACAATTGTTGACTCGTGATCTTGTATACATGAAACAAATATACCCCCGTATGCTAATTGTACTTCAACAACAACAAGAAATTAAAATAAATAAAGATGATGTGTTTAATCTGAAATAGGTTGTGGTCGCAATAGCCATGGGAGCTCTGAGTGGAAGAGTCTGGTGGAGCTGTAGGGATTTGGGTGGGGCTATCAGAGATGGGTGCTGGCTAGAATCTCTCCAAGTACAGCTCAGATCTCCTGACTCCCTCCTTGAAACCCAGAGCCGATTGCTTCTTTGCACCCCTGTTGGAGTAACCACTCAGGTGAATGTTTCGCCCTGGGTGTTGATGTTAGCACTGGCATCTGAGCATAGGGACGACATCCAAAATAACAACTCACATGGCTGGCGTGGGAATGGAGCCATCAGAATGGAGACACCTGGGGCGCCTGTGTGGCTCAGTCGTTTAAGCGTCCAACTTCAGCTCAGGTCATGATCTCACAGTCCATGAGTTCGAGCCCCGCGTTGGGCTCTGTGCTGACAGCTCAGAGCCTGGAGCCTTCTTCAGGTTCTGTGTCTCCCTCTCTCTCTCTGCCCCTCCCCTGCTCATGCTCTGTCTCAAAAATAAATAAAAACATTTAAAAAAAATTAAAAAAAGAAAAAAGAACAGAGACACCTGCCTTCCCAGAAGAGCCTAGCCTAAGGTCCCGTGCTGTGCTGGGTGTAGAGATACAAAAGAGAGCAAAAAGGTATCACAGTACATAAAGCCAACATAACAGCATCTATATAGTTAATGCCTGTACATCTATAAGAAAAAGGAAAACATTCGAATAGAAGAACCACTAGGAAAAAAATGCCAGAAGACACAAAAATTCCTTCTACAAAAGTGTTTACCTGAATGTCCTATAGAACATAAGGAAAGATGTTAAACCTCATTAGTAGTATCTGGAGCTTGGGGAGGTCTGGGTCGGTCCAGGATGGCCAGAGTGCTGGGGAAGAAATCAGGGAATTCCACTGTGGAAATATTTCAATATTTTAGTAACCGGCACAGCCACACTGTTGTGTGCCACTGAATGTCAGCCCCGGGTGTCTAATTTCCTGAGTGCCTGTTGACACGTCTAACTCTAGCTCTCAATCCTGCATGGTTCTTTGGGAAGGAACCAAGCTGTGGGGCAGCATTCCTATGTAGTAGCAAGAGTTACAAAGGAGAATCTTTTCAGAAGATACAGTTTCCAAAAAAAGGAAAAAAAAAAAAAGCTTAGGGATAAATCTAACAAAAGATGTGCAAGAAAATGATAAAACCGAATGGAGAGACCTTTAAAGAAGTTCTAAGTAAATGGGAGAGCCGCACCATATTTAATTATGAAAAGATTCCGGGTCTCAAAGATGTGAATTTTTTACAGCATAGTTGCTAGATTCAATAATTGATAGGATTTAAATTAAACTCTGAATAAGGTTTTCCCTGGAAGATAACAAGGTGATTCTAACAATAGTCCAGGAATAGCTAAGGTATTGAAGAAGAAGGAAGAGGAAAGAACTGAAGGAGGAGGAGGAGGTGGAGGTGGAGGAGGAGGAAGCAGAAGGAGAAGACAGTACCATGAATAGAAAACAACTAGGTGAAGGGAACTTGCCCTAGTGGACGTCATCATCAAGTTGCAGTGGTGAAGATGGTGTGGTTTGGGTGCAGGGATAGACCAAGAGAACAGTGAGCCAGCAAATGTGGAAACCTGATATACAGAGAAATTACAATAGAGGTCACACGTATATTGCTACAGGGTCAGGAGAAATGTTTTCAGCAAAACAGCAGAAGTATAAACTGCAAAGGAAAAGATTAATAAATTTGACATTGGTGAATATAAGCACTAGTGTTCAACTGAATACACAAAGACTGTGAACAGATATTTACAACACATAAAACCTTGGGGCACCTGGATGGCTCAGTCAGTTAAGCATCTGACTTGGGCTCAGGTCATGATCTCACGGTTTGTGAGTTCGAGCCCCTCACTGGGCTCTTTATGGTCAGTGCAGAGCTCCCTTTGGTTCCTGACTCCCTCTCTCTCTGCCCCTCCCCAGCTCGTGCTTTCTCTCCATCTCAAAAATAAATTAAAACAAAACAAAGTGAAAAACCTCATTAGTAGTTGGAGAAACGCCAAGCCACCATTAGATAACACTTTACACCCACCAAAGTGGCCAAAAATTAAAAAAGTTGGATGATACCAAGCGGCAGCAAGGATGTGGCACATTGTGTGATGCGTAGATTGGCACAAACGCTTTGGGAAACAATTTGGCATTATCTGCGCGAAGCTGGTAATGTGCGCGGCCTCCACTCTGCAACTCCACTCCTAGGCGTGATCTGGAGAAACTCTGCACACGCACCCAGAAAGGTCAATATGAGGCTGTTTATGGCAGCTCTGTGTGTGGCAGTAAAATATTATAAACAACTGAATTTCCCTGACCAAGAAGGTAGATAGACACATTTCGCCGTGTTCATTTCATGAAATAAATTTCTTACAAACAAAATAGATTTCGTATAATAAAATAAATATGACACAAAAGGGAAAATGAGGGAACGAGGGCCACCAATGAGCAAACACAGCGCTGAGTGAACAGAGCAAGGGGTGGGCTGTTATGTGTAGCCTAACGTCACTTCTCTCAAGTTTGAAATCTCACAAAACCCACAGTGAGTTGTTCATGGATGCGTAGGGGTTTTTGAAATGTGAAGTGAGGAAATATAAAACAGTCAGGAAAGGGGTGTCCTCTGGAGACTAGGAAGGGGAAAATGGACCTGGAGATGGGCACACGGGGGGCTCCAACTGTATTTACAATGTTTTATTTCTTAAGTTTGGAAATGGATAATTGGCTGTTCGTTTATAATTCCCCTAGTTTTGAAAAAAAAAAAAATCTGGTCGTTGGATGCACAAAATTCGATTTGTTTCATAGTCTGTGCCTTCAGATAAACTCTTTGTATCTGGCTTTTCCAATGCATTTTTTCTTTCTTTTACTTAACCCATTTTAAAATAATATAATGAACACCCGGTAAACCCATCATCCGATCCAAGGACTAGGAAAATAAGCGATAATTCACACCTACTTATGTGTTCCTCCCCTATGCGGCTTCCAGCCCACCCGGAATTTGGTGTGTTCTATTTATTTGCTTTGTATGTTAATGTTAGCACATATATATGTAAGTCTAAACAACATATTGCTGATGCCCAGGGCTTTGGAACTCGATAAACAGCGTACCAACTGCACACAGTCTCCTAGAACTCAGTTTTTTCCTACTCACCATTATGTCAGCAGGATTGCTTTGCAGCCCTCTCTGGTTCCTGGGTGTCCCTCTCCTGCCAGTGCCTCTCCCA